ATATAAAAATTAACATTAATTTAAAAATTATTATTATATAAATAAATTTAATTAAATAAATAATAAATTTAATATCAACATTTATTTTTTAAAAACTCTTAACTTACTCTAAAGGTACAAGTAAAAAAAATCTTTTAAAAATTAATTTCATCGGCTAAAAAGAACGATGCAAGTACTTAGTAGATCTAGAAGTCTCAAAAATAAAAAAAAAAAGTAGTTAACAGACATAGATTTTACGGGAAGAAAGAAGAGAAATTAGAGGCTGTTGATCCCAATATCAGCCCCCAACAAGTGGCTCCACCAACCTCCAAATTGAGAGCCCAAAAAGGAAAACTGCATGTTGAGACGAATAAACCTCAGACCAATCCACCTGTAAATGGCAAAACCCAGCTCCAGCTCGCCACTTCCAATACAAGCAAAATTTTAAAGTCATATTAAGAAACCCTCTTTTAAGATCCTATTTTTCTAAATTTTTTTATCCACCAAGCAAATTTCCCCAGCAGCGTCCTTTTCTTTTTGGTAGATAAATTTCCTCAGCAATTTTACCAAAATGAAATATTTCTCAGCCGAAACACGGAAGTCACTATCCTACCTCATTCTCAATTTAAATCTTTTCACTGTTTAATTTTAATTGACTTAATTTTGAATTTAAAATGTTTAAAATAAGTTACTCATTTTTTTTTAAGATGTCATTAAATGTGTTTATTTCAATTTTACATTTATTTTAAGAAAATAATTATAACATATATTATAATAAGAACACTCATTTTAGTAGTGGTTAACTAAAGATAAATATGAAATTGTTATTAATTAATTATTACATCCTTATTATTTAAAAAAAATTAGGCTAACTAAAGTTGAGTAGAGTGAGTATTTTGTTTTAATTTTTGGTTTTTCTGGCCTGTCTTTAGTATAAGTTAATGATATAATTATTATATCTTTTTATATTAATTAATATTAAAAAATTGATATTTATTTAAGTAATTATTTAATTAAAATGATTTGGATGGCATTAATAAGAGTGAAATTAATCACAATTTTTGTAATTTTTAATCCTAATTAATGTTAAAAAAATACAATAATTACACTCTTAACTTCTTTGCTAATGGTACAAGTTAGGAAAACACTTTAATTTTTAAGTAAATTCATTGTCAGAAGAGAAGATCATTAGTTATGGGTTGACACATCTATAAGAGTAATATATTTTTTGTTTTAATTTTTTATGAGAAATAAAATTTCATTGATATATGAAATTATAAGGGTTAGGGCCAAATTGAATGGATTAATGCGCTAAAAGTATTACACTCATAAAATTCATAAAAATACAAAATCAAATAATTTAATATTTACACGATTATCATAGCCAAATCTAAACTTGAGATCTAGCAATATATTAAGTTATTGATCTAGCATAATCCATTTAGATGGGAGTAAATTGATTAGACATAAGAATTTAGTTAGTGATCCCATCTCCAATCATACCTTCAATAATGATCTTAATAAAAAAAAAATTGAGAAAGTTAAAGTAGAAACCTTGAAAAAAGGAAGAAAAACCTTCTCATGAGACAAAAAAACCCTCATAAGAGAGGAAACAACTCCTACCTTTTGCCATCTACCTTAACTATTGAAGGGGAGAGAGGCAACGATGGCTAGGGAGAAGATGAAAACAAGAGTAAAAGGAGAAACCAAGGTAAGAGAAGGGGGTAATATTAGTAGAAGTTATGTACTTGTTATTTAATAGGTTTGAATTTTGATCTTGACCCAAATTTAAAATTTTTAAATTAGTGTGCATTAATTCAACCAAACAATAGTAACATACATAATCAGATACCAATTCTCGTAGTTATAAATAAATAGAAAAAAGTTGTATCTTATTAATACATACACATGAAAGTTTTATGAGCTCTTGCCTCTTCTTTTTTTCTTTCTTTTTTTTTTTTCAATTTTTTCTTTTTTCTATTTTCTATTTTTGAAAGGCAGAATTGAGATATTAAAATTATTTGTATAAGTATGAGGGGTACTTCAACCCTTACATCATGAGTAGCATCCTCTACAAATCTTTGTTTAATCATAAGCTCTTGCTTTTGCAATATGGGCTATGTAACATACTGCAAAATTAAAATTGTTAGATTTGAGGAGCCCATCCATGTAATAGTTAGCATACAGTTCTAATTACACAAATTTTCTTTTGAAGTTTTATTATTTATTTATTTTATTGTCTAATTTTTTATTAAATTAGAGTATAAAGAGTATTTCTATCCATATACATTATATTTTCCTGTCATAAGCTAAACGTTTACTATTCTAGCATGCAAGTGAAGATGGTTCACCAATCATACAATGAAAACCCATATGCACTTAATTTTTTGAAGTTCTATTGATTCATTATATTACTTACCATATATACACATCTTCTTTATTAATGCCTTAGGTCATTTGTTTTATACATTAGGAATAAATTACTTAGTATTGCAAGTATATAGCAATGCCTTAAATCAAGATATTTAATTTAATAAGTGTTCAGTTATACTTTTGTTACTTAATAGTGCATACATTTTTTTAGGGAAATGATTTTGTCCCAACCTTTTTGTTCCACATTTTTATATAACCTGACTTGTCATTTACATGATTGGTTCTTTTTATTCTTATGGATCTATGATATTGAATGCATCTACTTATTTAATGATATGTAAAAATTATATCAAAAAGTAGTATAAAAAAAATTGTCTCTATTACTATTTTTATTTATTTATAATTAGAATGTTTTAAAATCAATTTTGACATATTTCAAGACTAATCTCTTTTTAATAAGCTAGTGCACTTCTAAGATAAATTTTATAAATGCACCCTAGCCAATGTTTTAAAAAAATTAGTTTTCTTAAATATTAACTTTAAAAGTTAATTTTAAACTTAGCATATAAGATAGGACTTACTTACCTATAGAATCTATCTTGGGATTAACGTGCCTACGTTATTTTTTCTTTCCATTCTTTTATGGAACGAAGATGTAAAAACTAGGGCGAACAATTTTCCTCTCAAGTTAATGGTTTTAGCCAATCCATTCAAGGCGAGCCTCCACCATTGGCGTGTTGCACAGATCATTGTACGAAGACGTTGAGATGTAATACTATTTTTTCTTTTTCTATTTTTTTTTTAGGTGTTTACAGTCCATTTTCTTTACAGGGAGTACGAATATTATGTGTTACCCATTAAATGGTTAAAATTGTGCACTCTATATAATAGTTGAAAAAGCTGAGTATTTTTTCCTAAAGAAAACGAGGGTTTTTTGTGTTTTGAGTATAAAGAGAGTGCTATATCAGAAATCAATAGATCCTCTGCGTTTCTGCTCATCTTTCTAGGGTTTCTGAACTTCTCCCTTCTTTGATTCCACCCTTTGTTCCTAGTAATTTTCTAGGGTGGTTGCTGTTTGGTTTGCTAGAAAATTTTGGCTTCTTCCAGTGATTTTCCTTTTGTTTTTCCTCCTTTGCACCTTGAAACCTTTCTATGGGATTATGGGCAGCTATTATTGATCTCTTCAAAATTTATTTTCCTTCCACAAAGGCTGAAACTTGTTTTCTTTCCTAGAAAATTTAGGCTATCTTCTTTCTGTGTTTTCTTGCTTTTCTCTTTCCTTTGAGCTTTTAAACCCTTCCTCTAGGTTGCCATTATTAATTTCTTCAAAATTTGTAATTTTTCTATGCAATGTTTGAAACTTTAGTAATAGCTACACATTGCGTAGCTACTCAATATGTATCTGGGGACTTTGCTCAATTTTGGTGAGTACTTGTGTCATTTTTTCTTAAAAAAATGAAAATTGATTTTCCTTTAAAGTTACTGATTGGCGTGGCTCTGTTGATGAAGTAGAAAATGGTGAGAGGAAATTTTGTGATGAAAAGGATTGAGAATGCAGCCAACAGACTAGTGACCTTCACTAAGCGTCGAAACGGGCTGCTTAAGAAGGCTTTTGAGCTGTCTGTTCTCTGTAATGTCGATGTTGCAGTTATCATCTCCTCACAAAAAAGGAAGACTTTATGAGTTCTCAATCTCCAAGTATGTTCTCTTTAATTATACTAACAAAGTTCTTCAATTGATTATTTCTTTTTACCATATATGTTAATCATTTAAAAGATAGTGCAAGTTTGGTTCTTGTTCCTCTTTTCTGTTTTTAGTCAATTGTATTTAACCCTTTTGTGTTTTAATCCTTTTTGTACTATAAGGTTTCTTCCATAAATTTTACAGATGCTTATCATGTGGATCTGTACTTCCTTAATTCCATTAGGAAATCTTACCATTTGTGTAGTTTTTTTTTCCCTATTTGTCCTTGAGTTCTTTTCTTTTGATGAAATATCAAGATTGACTCTCAATCTCTCATGAGATGCTTTGCTGCTGGAACAAATCCATTTGGGTGCATTTAGCCTTTCTCAAACATCTCTATTAGGGTTTCCAAAAGCTTTGCTGCTAGGAACTAGAAACTGAAATTCTAGCTTTTAGCCTGCCACCAATTCAATTTAAATATTAATTATTAGATATTCCTTTTCTTGATTTGGAAAGATACTTATATAGGTTTAACACATTCTACAATGCTCATTAAAAAATTATTACTATTTTGTCTAGAATTAAAGACGGAAAAACTTAAGAGATGCAGCTATATATACAACATGAGAGAACTAGTTAAACTAGTTGCGCTTATATTATGTTTTAATGGTTATATTGGTTAGGTGTTGGTTTTTGTTGAACTAGAGGGTGTCCATATCATTGGTATCCCTTCTGGTTCAACACATCAACTAACACCTGCTACTTCAGCTATTAAAATTTGTAATTTTAAGAGTTTCTGATGTTAATTCAAATTTAGAAGATAACAATTTTTAAGAAGTGTGTTGTAGAGTATATTGAATTGAAAGATGTTTATATTAGCGTCCTTTCTTTTTATATATATGGTGTATGATATCACCTCTTTTGGGAATTGTGTTAAACGCACCAATCTTCATTATAAAAGTTTGACACTGCATAAAATAGTTATGAAATTATTAATTTCTTGTACTATATATCTTATGGACGTGAGTCTATGAATTTCATTGGTGCATGGCTAATTAAAATAAATGTTGCTTGTCTGTGTGTTTGAAGGAATATGTGAATGTAAGCCTTTATGAGGCATAAAAATCTACTTTATTTTTAGAGCTGCATGCTTTTAGGCTTATTAGATTTTCATTCTTTACCATGAATAACTTATTGCTAAGCGTTGGCTTTTCAAGTGTTGGGTAAATATTTATGTTTTTCTCTTTTTTTTTATATATATTTATGAGTTAGAATTCACTTACAAATAACTCTTAGACAAAAACTATTTATCTCTCTATTATGAATGGTTAAGATTTATCCACATTTTATCCTTTTTCTTTTAAATATAATTGTCTTTTTCATTTTAAAAGTTGTCATAAATCTCAACTATTCGTAGTGGAAATATGAATGGTTCAGATTTTGTGTATAATGTGTATAAGAGTTATGGGAAGGAGGATCCTAATTAACTCTATTTATATAATCTTTATTTTGAGTGTTTAATTCTTATATGTGATCAATTAATGTGTTTAGGCCAATAATGGGAGGCATAGGAATGATATAATCACTCAATAATACCATAAGTAGGAAAGAGAAAATTTGACTTAGAAAAAGCAAAAATCTAATCCATTAGATATTTTGATTCTTTCTGTAGCACATATCATTACTTGAGGTGCATCTGTTAATTGGGTAGTAGATTAAAGAACAATATTACTTGTGTGCATTTAGAATTAGTTAAAAGAACCCAATAAATAATTATAATAATTAGAATAATACCACAACTAATTATCCTTACTACATTCAAATTAAATGTCTATAATCTGTTATTCTTGTGTTTTAGGTATATAGTCTAAGTTATAACTTGTTTGAGGTGGCCATTCTGTGAATGCATCTTTATTCTTGGCATATTTATATTTTAGGCTTAGATGGTTGGTTGAGAAAAGTATGTAATTTTTTGTGTTCCCCTAACATCACTGGTGTTTTTTCCCACAACTTTGTGCTAAGGAAATTTGAAGGAAACGCTGAAATTCTTGCTGAACTAGCTGAGGTCTTCGTCTTAAATGTTAGCAAAGCTGAACTTTGTGTATGTGATTCTATATATGGACGGCTTGTGGCTGTAAGTTTAAGAGCGGAGTACCCATTGTACTCCTACTAATGATATTTTTTATTCATCTAAAAAAAGTATGTAATGTTGTTATTCTGTTCCAGTAACTAGGGAGTGTCCGGAACTTTTGTGTTTTTGAGTGCTTGCGCACTTGTTAATTTATGAAATTGTTTCCAAATTGTTAATTAATTAATTAATTAATGAAATTGTCTGTAGATAGGATATATTTGCTTTCCTTTCTGTTTAATTCATTCCTTCCTAGGAAACTGATAACATGAATTGATGACAATATTTTTTTGTGAAATGCTTTAGCAAGCAAAACGCCATTGAACGATACTCTATGTATACAAAAGAAATTGCAACTTGGAAGAGTGAAAAGGAGCGACACATGCAGGTTAGACCCCCAGCTCTCATTGTACAGATTAATTTTCCATGAATTTTTTCCCGAGAAAAGGGACAGTTCAAAATTTATTGCTTTTCATAGAAAACTGAAACAATTATAGTTAGGAAAGTACATTGTAAGGTTTTGTGTTTGAGTGGGGGATCCTTAAGCGATCTGAGTTAAGCATGATAATGCATACTTAATTTTTAGTGGATTAAAATTAAAAAAAATAGTGGATTAAAATAAAAATTAAAATAATGATTAGTACATCTTTCAGTTTAACATATCTATCAATACTTGCTGGTTCAACAATTAAATTTTGCAAGTAAAATTTTTCTTTATCTTAAATTCAAATTTAAAAATAATAATTTTTTAATGAGTGTTATAAAATGTGATGAATCAAATGGTGCATCACATCAATCATTGTCTTAAAAATTAACTTGGTTGCTAGTCTGCTTCTTTTGCTGTTTTTATCATGGTTTTGGACTCTAATTCCGTGATTTAGGAAGTGGAGTTTTTAAGCTCAGACAAGTGCTTATTCTAGTCTCCTATAAACAAGTTGCCAAGGGGGCTCTCCAAAATATGATTATAATACTTCATCAATTTGAGCAAATCTTTCCAAGCATTAATCAAATCCATGCAATCTTTTGTTTTAGCTAGATTTTGTGGCTTGATTCTTCGATACATAGGATTTGATTGCTCTATATATAATCTACAATACATCTTCATTGCTCTCATTAAACAGTTCACTTCATGAGTTAAAATCAATTACTAGCCTACAGGTGCTAATAGTACTTACGGTTTCCTCGAAAAAATTTCGAAGCGCAGCACTCGAGGATTGAAAGAGCAAATATGTTTAAGAAGATTGAGTTCCTGGAAGTTTCTAAAAGGTTCAATATTGATTTAATGCTTATGTCATGTTACTTCACCTCATCCTGATGAGAGGATTTCTAAAGTTTGAAATTTTGACGTTGTACGGGAAGCTGTTGGGTCAAGGATTGGGCCCATGTTCTGTCAAGGAACTTCAAGAGATTGGTGGCCAGCTGGATCAGAGCTTGAAAAACATTGGGGCAAGAAAGGTTTGCAACCTTTAGATTTGCATTTAGGCTAAAACTGATTACATTAATGAATCAATACATGATTACAAGACTTCTACTTTTGATGGAAAATTAGCATTTGAGTTACTATCAAATGAGCTTTTTGGCATATTTATAGTGTGTCTGCACCTTTATTGGACCCTCATAGACATACAGCAGCCACATTTCCTCAAACTCGCCTCCTTAGGTTATACTCATGGATAGAGCTGCAACCCACATTACTTTAACCATTTATGTGGTCCAAGATCTCCTCCATGATTTAGGATTGCCGGGTTGGAGTCTCTAAGATACCATGTAATAAATTCAATGTGCCATCTACCTACATGTAAGGGACTTTGGCTCGACGTTCCTCATACCATTGATCTAAATTTCTTTAGTGTACTAGATTCTTCATTGTGCCCTGCATTTACCTACACACAATTCTTAGACAATACTTGAAAATTGTGTTTGCTTGCATGAAAGTACATAGAGTAAGCATCTTTTGTCCTATATCATAGGCCCAGTTATACGAGGAGCACATAAAGGAACTAAAAGCAAAGGTAAGAATTACACCCTCCATTGAATTAAATATATATTACTTCCTCAAACTTCTAGTCCTAAGTTTATTAGCTGTGTACCTCTTTTTTTCTTTTTCTCAATATTTTTTTTTGTATTATTTTAGGAGAGAATAATGTTAAAAGAAAATGCGAAGTTATGCCAAAAGATGTGTTTTGGTGAGTTTTTCATTTCCAAATCTCGGAGTTCTCTTTGTACTTGAAAAAAAACACCCACAGTTTTGTAGTCCAAACTAACATTAGAATGCAAAAGCGGGGTGTTGGATGATAGAGACCATTCTACAAGACCCTCGTCATCTAATGTTTCAAATTTTGTAATATAGTATAATTCATATTGCAAAATACTGTTTTAATAGAAAAAAATTATCTGACTCTTTTGATATTGGTAATAGTGTTATGGTGGGAGGCTGTGGCATCAACTACTAACCCAACAAAGGAAAGCAATTTGGTTGCACCCAAAATAACCAATGCGTGGAGGTTGTGACAAAATTGTTCATTAGATTGCCACAAAACCATTAATATCAATAATCTGAATTATTTTATGAAATAAATTATTGTGTTGTCCCAAATAATGTTGTTTGATTGATGTATGTGGTTGGTTAGTCCTCTATTTTTCTCTTTAATATTTTCTTTAATTGTATATGATCTAAATGTAATTATAGTGTAAGAACACCATAAAAATTATAGTGCTGTTGCTGGGTATTAGGACGCTATGCACGGCAAAAAAAATCAAGACATTTTCGTTTTTATCTTAAAAATAAACTATTTTTATATTTTTCATAATAAATTGATTAAAACAATTTAATTTTAAAGTATATATTCTTTAAATTTTTTAGAGATTCTAGTAGTAAATTATTTCTTTAATATTTTTAATTCTACTTTTGTAATTTCCTATTGTAAATAAAAACATCAATTTTCATTTGATCAATCTCATTAATTACATGATTAAAATTGAAAAAATTAATACACCCAATAATAAGAAAAACGTAATGAGATTATATTTTTTGTATGTAGAGACTAAAATTAAATTCTAAATATATAATTTAAAGTATAGATAATTTTACCATTAAATCACCTAATTGATGGGACAAATGCAAGGAGTTATTAGAATTAGATTTTACCAACAGAAGAAAAGAAATTAGAGGTTGTTGTTCCCAAAATCAGCATTCAACAAGTGGCGCCATCAGGCATCAGCCTCCAAATTGAGAGCCCAAAACGAAAACTGCGTGGCGATTGGTGAGACGAAGAAATCTAAGAGCAATCCACCTATATATATATATATATATATATATATATATATAAAGGAAAATGATATGTAACATCCGGCCCGTACACACGTCATATAAACAAAAAAAAAAATGCTCATCACTCAATTCAATTTTTTTTTTTTATGTGGAGGGTGCACACTCGAGTGTTGAATCCGGGTGTGCATCAATCATTGTTCATATATAAAATAGCAACATCCAGCTACAACCCGCCGCTTCCAACATAAGCAAAACTTTAAAATCATATTGAGAAAACCCTCTTTTAAAATGATATTTTTCTAAATTTTTTATCCGCCAGTCAAATTTCCTCAGTGGCTTTCTATTTTTGGTGGTTAAATTTCCTCCACAATTTTACCATAATAAAAAAGCTAATGATTGTTATATCTTCTATTTAATACATTTTTAAGTACTTGTCTACTTTAATTATTAAAATATAATAAAAAAGAACTAATTCAAGTGATTTATACATCTTATATGTATAATTATATTTTTAAGTTTGTTTAATTTTAATTTTAAATTAAAATATAATAATTTTTTAATGAATATGTTATAAAATGCATTGGACCAAATGGTGTACTAATCAATGTTCTACTGAAAAAATCCTCAGCAGAAACCCACAAATCACTATTTACCCTTATTCTAAATTTAAGTATTTTCTTTGTTCAGCTTTACTTGAATTGGTTATTAATTTGGGTGTTTAAAATTAATTATTCACTTTTCATTTTAAAATTGTTATTAAATGTATTTATTCATACTTTACCCTTATTTTAAGAACAAAATTAGTTAATTACAACATATTTTATAATGATGCTTATTTAAGTAGTGGTTAATTAGGAATAAATATAAAGTTTTATTAATTATTATTACATCCTTATTTGATTGGAGGAAAAAAAGAGTTAGGTCAACTAAAATTGAACAAATATTTTATTTTTATTTTTAGGTAAATTCATTGTTAAAAGAGAAGATCATTAATTTAGCATTCATGAGTTGCATAATATTTACTTATAGGTTGACACATTCCAAAGGGTGATCTATATATATGTGTGTGTATGTGTATTAGTGAAAGTTAAGTATTTGGTATTTAAGATGTTTGGATTATGATCTTGAGCTCAAGTTAAAAATTTTAAATTAGTGTACATAAGTTAAAAATTTTAAATTAGTGTACATTAGCTCAACCAAACAATAGTAAGATATGCAATTATATACCAATTCCCATATTTATAAATAAAAAGGAAAAGTTATACCTTATTAAAACATGTACATGAAAGTTTTATGAGTTATTGCATTTGCAACGTAGGATGTGACAAACTTTACAATTAAAATTATTAGATTTAAGGTGCTCACTCCATGTAATAATCAGTATATAATTTTGATTACACAAAATATTTGTAAAGTTTTATGGGTACATTATATCACTTATTATATATGCATATCTTTCTTTTCTTTCTTT